CTCCGCGGGAACGAGCAAGCGCCGCGCACGGGGGCGAGCTTCCTGGAAGAAGGGCCGAGAACTTTGATCGACGGATCAATGAAGAACTGCGGCGCCCCCGAAAGATGGCGCGAGCTCCACGGGAACTCTTCCGCGGCGCGCCTGGGCGCCCCGCTGGGGGGCTGAGACGCCAGAGCAGGGGGGTGAAACCCGCGGCGCGCAACTCTGCTGCGAGCATTCAGCCAGGCGAGAGCCGAAGTAGACTGCCAGCCTATACGCTTCAACGACAACCGCATTCTCTGCTCTCGATGGGCCCGCGAGATCCCGCCCGGGCAACCCCGTCACGGGGCGCGGCATTGCGAATCCGGCACAGCTCATGAACGCAATAGAACGATGCATCGACGCGCGCGAGCGTCGCCCAGACGACGCCGGGGCCCACTGCAACGCGGAACTCCAGCCCGCCAGACGGGGTCGCCAGAACGCGAACTCAGCCCGACAATAATTCCCTGGGCGGCGGGAAGATTTGCGCGCTAACAAAACACGTTGGGCCCGCAACATCTCTCGGCAACTCGCGCCCGCCACCGCCGAACCAAAGGCGGCGCCGCGGGGCGCTCCGGCGACGTTAATCTTGCCTGCGTCACCTCTGGCGGGGGAGGCTCTCGCGGGACCTTTCCTCAATGCGACGGCGGGGCTTCGCGCGTTCGCGCGTTCGCTCGCCTCCCCGCGAGGCATCCATGGGGGGCGCCTTTGGCCCAGAGCCAGTCGGCCCCCAACGCGACCACAGTAACAGCGCCCGCCGCGGCCCCCGACAGTGCGCCCAGTTTGCGAGCGAGCGCAAGGAGGCTGCCGACCGCGGTGAACACGTCGGCTTGCAGCTGCGCGCTCAGTTCGCCGCGAAAAACCACGACTGCGAAGCCGCCGCCTGGATCAGAGCGGCCAAAAACTTCTCGCCCCCCCCCCCCCCCGCATATTCAGAGCCATCCTCAGCGCAGCTGAGCATGGCGACCTTCGGGCGCTCTCGCGCTGGACGAGCAGAGGCCGCGACGCCGCGCGCACGAACGAAAAAGTCATTGAAGGCATCTCCCGCGGGCAAAACAGAGCGCGCAAAAAACGGGGGAGGGGGGGCCGCGCTGGGCCCCCCAGGCGAAGCGGGCGGGGGCCCATCCAAAAGCTGCGGCCCGTTATTACTATAACTTCGTTCATGCCGCGGGCCTAGACGCGCTCTTGGAACTACAACTCGAAACTTCCATTGTCCTCGGCGCCGCGCCAAATCACCCATGCCGAAACCTCACTGGCCCGAGCCACCACCTCAGCTCGAGCCGCCCGGCGCCGCGCAGGCCCAAAGACGACAAGGGCCGCCGCCCTTCAAACTGAGCGGCATCGGTCTGCGCGGCCGCCCCCAGGCGAGCACGGGGCCAGAGCGCGAAAAGGCGGGTCTGCGACCTCCTTCCAGGAGGGCGGGGGGGGCATCCAAGACGACCGATGGGTAGAAGAGCCAACATGTTCGATGGCTCGGCGCAGAGCCCCCACCGCTTTGCGATCCGCATCCGACGCGCGCGACGACTGTTCGGGGCGCGCCCCACCAACGGACTGAGACGCGAGACAAGAGAGACTCGCACTCGCGCCGCGCATTTCCGCAGCTAACGCCCTTGGCAGGCACGCTCGGCCAAGCGAATCCACCAGTGGATGTCTCGCAGAAGCGCGCCAGAACATGGCCAAAGTCCTGGACTTCTGAATTGCAAAGCTGCGGGGGGGCACCGCTACGCTGGCCAGGATGGGTCTGCATAGCCGTGATGAAGCCCATTTCTGCTTAAGCTCAATTGAACGACGCGTGGCCGTGGCGCCCCCCTTCCAGCGATTTCTCCTGCCGTTCGCCCAAATCCCAAGAGTCCTGCGCGGCCTTCGGAGGGCTCTTCTGGGCCCGGGCACGGTCGCCCACCCGCGAATGGGAGACTTCGCGGGCGATCTGCGCCTGGTCCTCGGGCGAGGATGGACGCCATTGGCGCGCGACGTCCCTGGCTTGATCGATCGCGGCGCCCAGCCTCGATGCCGCGCCCTGGCCGCCTGGGCGCGGGCGCAATGCGACCAGATGGGCCTGCTGCCGATGGCCCTCTGCCAACTTCTCGGCGCGATCTGGGCCAGGGGCGGCCAACGCGGGCGCCCAGGAAGCCAGCGTGCATTTGTTTTTGAGACCTCTAGATTTCATTTGCACCCCCGCAACCGACCCCCAAGTTCCACATCCACCGCGCCAACACAAACCTGCAACGCTTCGGCGAGGATCTCTGGAGCGAAGCCAACGGGCTTGTCACGGGCCGCCTGCGCCAACGCATTCAGTCGCATATCTGGCCAAGTCACAGTTACAAGGCTCGGGATCGAGTTTGAATGCGGGCCAAAGAGGGGCCCCGCTCGGAGCATGGAGTGGCCCGCTACACAAACTAGCGCAAACTGATGGCAAGCTCCTTCAACGCGAACTTGACTGCCATGCGAGGTCGGCCACCGAACTGAAGATTATACAGCTGATCTCCTCAAACGTTCGAGAGAACGCGCTACTGCACATGAAACATCGGCGGCGCAGAAGGCGTCGCGGCGGACGCAACTCCTGGCAGGAGAATCGAAGAGCTCCGAACCCAGTCGGGGAGCAAGCCCCGTCGTCTCCAGAAAGGCGGGGCCCGGGTTCCAATCGCCTCCGCGCAACGCATGGGCCCCAACTCTAATGCTCTGCCGAAACGACGCGCCACGATCACCAAGCCCCTTGTCGGATTTCAAATGCACACAAGCGATGGCAAGAGCGGGCCGAGAAGAGATGCCAACGTCCACGTTCATCGCAGTGCCAGTGCCAATGATCCCCCAATCCTTTGGCCAGCGGAACCCCACGTGGGCCGTCGCAAAGATAGCGATCCCCCGCCCGGGCCCACCAGAGGCCCAAGCACCGACGGAGAGGCCAACATTCGCCATCCAAGCCCCCGCGCTGCATCGCAAATAGCGGAGGATGGTTCGCCCTGGGGTTGTGGTCCAGTGGGTCCGGTGGGTCCGGCGGGTCCGGTGGGTCCTGTGGGTCCGGTGGGTCCAGTGGGTCCGGTGGGCCCGGTGGGTCCGGTGGGTCCGGTGGTCCGGTGGGTCCGGAGTGTCCGGCGGGTCCTGTGCGTCCGGTGGGTCTGGTGACTCCGGTGGGTCCGATGGGTCTGGTGGGTCCGGTGGGTCCGGTGCGTCCTGTGGGTCCGGTGAGTCTGGTGGGTCTGGTGCGGTCCTGTGGGTCCGGCGGGTCCAGTGGGTCCTGTGGGTCCGGTGCACGTGGTGGGCTTTGTAGGTCCGATGCGTTCGGTGCGTCGAGAACCCTCCTCATCCTCATCATCGTCGTCATCCTCACCACCTCATCGCCGTCGTCAGCATCGTCAGCATCATCCAAATCACCA